GCCCCTTACCCTTTCACTGGGCTCCAGGCCTCTCTGGATGTGGCTTGTTCCACTGTCCTCTCTTCTCTCTCTCAGTCTTTTGCAGTTTCACAGCTCTTCTTGGTGGGGTTCCCGGTCACCTCTGCTGTCTCTCCCTGTAATCCTCACTGAGCAGCAATTGTTCTCCACTTTCCTCAGACTAAACTTCTACCCTTCAGCCAGGACATTCTGAGAAGCTATGTCTCTAGTTGACCTTCGTGGCTCCCTCCTCAATAGAATTTTTTAAATGGATGAAAAGTAAATGTGTGTGCATAGCTTAGTTGAACTTTCTAGTCTATTTCTTGATAAAATATACAGGATCATCTTGCCAAGAGATTAAGATATCATCTTACCAAGAGAGATTAAGATATCAAAAATTTCCAAGCACTAATTATTTTCTGAAACTTAGTATCCAGAGGGAGTGGATTCATTTACTTAATATTTTCAGCCCAGACTACCAGACTCAGGGTCTATCACACGTGTCCAGTCTTATGGATACACCACTGTCTTTTGCTCCTAGAAAATTTCCTTTCAGATGGTACATTTATTGTTATGATTGTTAAACAAAGAAGATAGAAATGGTGGTAACCTGAGAACAGCTTTTGTGCATTGTAATTTGGGAAAGAACATTTCAGACAGAAAAATACAGCAAATATTATGGCACCATATTTAGATGAATTTGATTTGTTCAAGAACAGAAAAAGAGGAGCATGACTAAAGTGTACTAAATCAGGCTAAGTAAAGACCATGGTAAGAAAACTGGATTTTATTCTTTGTGTAATGTGTAGAGATATTTAAGTAAGAGTCTGACATCTGATTTTTACTTTTAAAAAGAGCGTTCTGATTTGTGATATGGCAAATGTATTATGAAGAGTGGAGAATACAAGCAAGGAGTTGATTAGAACTCAGCATACTAGAAGAGAACTGACGATAGATAGCTCAGGATAGAATGGTAGCTACATAAAATGTGAGAAGTGATCATGCTCAGGCTGTATTCAGGAGGTAATGTCCATAAGACTTGGATGGTAGAGGCAGGTAGTGAGAGGATAAAAGAAAGGATGATTCCTAAATATTGGCCTGAACATCTGGAGTATGAAGCCTGGGGGTAAACCAGAATTTTGTTTGAGGATATGTTAAGTTGAAAATGCCTATTAGTCAAAGATGAGATGAGTTAGATATCAGGTTATGAAAGCTAAAACTTTACCTATCATCTCAGTGGTTCCTTTTATTCAAGTTGATAGGGAGTGAACTTCCATTACACTTAATTATTTCTGATAGTTGTCAGGGAGTGTAACATTAAACTCTTAATGCTCAATATTTATGAAGAATTACTTAAGTTATTTGCAATAATTTTCCAACATTTACTGCCCCAGTGCCATCCATGCACAACTGTCTCTGAAAGTGCATCCACTATTTTAATGCACTTCAGAGCATTTGATAATAGGGTACAGGGAATCTAAATATTACTTGGACCATGGAAGGGCAAATTCTATTAGTAAATTTGGTCATTACACTGGTTTTAAGGGGAAAATTTAACATGTGACTTCACATTTGCAATGTACTGACCTTTTAGTGTTTTCATATCACTCTGGAAAACCAAGACTGATCTAAGAGAGAGTGAGTATCTAACATTAATGGGAGAAAGTGTTTAAGGGAGAAATTAATGATAAGGGCTCATTGGTAATTTTAGATGCCATAAGTAGACTAATAAAATTGGGCTGGATGGAGAGCATTACTTTCAGCAACATTCTTCTGACTACTTTATTACCAAACTTATTCTTTTACATTATCTCTCC